TCAGCTTTTTTTATGTCTTCTACTTACGATTTTTGTCATTTCAAGTTAAGAAAAATTAAAACATTAAATTAGTAGCATTTTTATATTGATCAATACCTGCTTGAAATGCAGATATAAGAGATTTAACTCATATGGAGGAACACCAAAATTACACATCAATATTCCATAGCTCATGTGAGCATATGCATATAGTGGAGATGTTGCACCAAATTAAGGGAATTGTCTTTATTTTACCTCMTGATGTGTGCACATTCTGTCAACTCTGCTTTGAATTTACCCATGGCTAAGGAAGAACTGAGAAGAAAACATTCTCCCTACCTTTTCCTTTCCTTCTCCGTCATAATTTCCAGTGCAAATAAATAATACAGGAAAGTAACAGGAGCAACTTTTGCCTTCTTTCTGTACTCAAAGCAAGTTCCAGTTCAGATGGGGAGCAGCGAATCTCCCTACTCAGACCTCGAACTCTCAGACTCTCCTCACTAGTCCTTACCCTGTGCTGGTGTTGGATCTCACAGAACTCTCAGTACTGGTGGAATTCTGTTCTCATGGGAACGTCACAAACCCCACATGTGCATGGAATAACAATAACCGCAAATATTTGAATTATATATACATACCCCTCCTACTCGGGTTGATTGTTCCACATACTTCTCTTTCAAAATGAAGTTCAAAGAGAAAAGCATTAAGAAGTTTGAGGCAGGAACAACAGAGCATAAAGCCAAGCACAGGGCCTCTCTCAACTCAGAGCCCCATGTGACAGCACAGGTTGCATGCCCTGGCCCTCTGCACTTACTAATAATCAGTCATTAAAACATAGCTGGGGCAACTGTTAAAATAGTATTTTCAGGATCTAGCTTTTTTTTTTTTTTTTATTGTTGGTCGTTCAAAACATTACATCTTTCTTGATATATCATGTTTCACAATTTGATTCAGAAGGGTTATGAACTTCTATTTTTACCCCGTATACAGATTGCTGAATCACATCGGTTACATCAGTTACATTTCCATTGATTTACACATTGCCATTCTAGTGTCTGATGAATTCTGCTCTCTATCCTATCCTCTACTATCCCCCCTCCCCTCCCCTCCCCTCCCCTCCCCTCTTCTCTCTCGACCACCTCTACTGTAAAACATTTATTCCACTTGTATTCTTCTTCCCTTACCCCTCACTTCCTCTTGTATGTAATTTTATATAACCCTGAGAATCACCTTCCCTTTCCCTGCAATTTCCCTTCTCTCTCCCTTTCCCTCCCCCCCTCTCATCCCTATTTAATGTTAATCTTCTTCTCCTGCTCTTCGTCCCTACTCTGTCCTTAGTTACTCCCCTTATATCAAAGAAGTCATTTGGCATTTATTTTTTAAGGATTGGCTAGCTTCACTTAGCATAATCTGCTCTAATGCCATCCATTTCCCTCCAAATTCTATGATTTTGTCRTTTCTTAATGCGGAGTAATACTCCATTGTGTATAAATGCCACATTTTTTTTATCCATTCATCTATTGAAGGGCATCTAGGTTGGTTCCGCAGTCTTGCTATCGTGAATTGTGCTGCTATGAACATCGATGTAGCAGTGTCCCTGTAACATGCTCTTATTAGGTCTTTAGGGAATAGACCGAGAAGGGGAATAGCTGGGTCAAATGGTGGTCCCATTCCCAGCTTTCCAAGAAATCTCCATACTGCTTTCCAAATTGGCTGCACCATTTTGCAGCCCCACCAACAATGAACAAGTGTACCCTTTTCCCCGCATCCTCTCCAGCACTTGTTGTTGTTGGACTTCATAATGGCTGCCAATCTTACTGGAGTGAGATGGTATCTTAGGGTGGTTTTGATTTGCATTTCTCTGACTGCTAGCGATGGTGAGCATTTTTTCATGTACTTATTGATTGATTGTATGTCCTCCTCTGAGAAGTGTCTGTCAGGATCTAGCTTTTAAGGTTCTTGTAAAGGTCGTGTAAAGTAGGTTTTTTTTTATTTTTTTACACACTCCTTGGTTGATTGAATTGAACTCCCAGGTTTAGGAAACATGGCCCTAGAACAATTACAACCTTTTAAAATACAGTTCACCTCCCGGACCCCAGCCCTAGCAGTCAACTGCTTTTCTTTCTCTTACCTACTGCCTCACTGAGGGAAGGTCCAGAGTGGAAGGAGTGGGAGAGGAAAGGAAAGCCACCCGACGGGACCATGGCATGGGAAGAGCATGTCTGTTTGATAATCTAATTGACCCTCTGGTCTCYTCTCCTGCCTCTGGTTCATCCCCACTCTTAAGCTCTGGGGCATGTCTGTAGGAAGGAATGCCTAGAAACTGGAGTTGGGCACTTCCCCAAGACTGCTCCTTTCCTAGGTTTCTTACTTCCTAACCCACCCTCCCATCCCACCTGACCCTTTAAGCTAAATTCTTCAGAATCATTGTCAACTTCTCCCTCTTCACCACCTTTTCATCCAAATTGATCTATCCTTTAAATCTTTCCTTCTAAATCACAAAAAAAAAAAAAACACTTGTGCCTTTTTTCTGTCCCCTGTGCCACTGCCTTAATTTCACTAGACCTTTATCATTCCTCTTCTGAATCACTGGGTGACCTCCCGGTGAGGTTCCTCCTCTGCCTCTATGTTCTACCCCAACATTACAATGAGATTCTTCAAAATCCAGATCTATCATCGTCCTCCCATTCTAGATCCTTTCATGATTCCACAGAGTCTTAAAACATTTTGATCATTCCTTATAGCATATTCTACCCTTGAATCCAGCCCTTTCTGCCTATTCAGTTTCTTTTCCTGCCACAGACAATAAATACCAGCCAGGTCCAGATTTCAGCAATCCTTCCTGGTTTTTTAATGCTGCTCCCTCTACTTTGAACAGTGCTTGCTCTTCAGCTCCCCTCCCTTCCTTATCCATCAGCAAACTGTTGCTGTTCCTCTCATAGATTAGCTTGGAAACCAACTCAAAAATCATCTCCTTTGAATTTCCTGATTCTTCTCCCTCCCCCATCTTAATGACTGTCCCCACGTCATTTCTACCATGCTTCCCATGGCACTTAAGGAAAAAAAAAAAAAAAAAAACTCCTGTCTCACCCTAACCAGGCTGTTGAGAACCTTGAGGGGGATGTTGTTCCTAGCATGATATAAATTCTCAATACTGGAGGAAGGAAGAGTGATGGCAATACACAAAGGCAAGAATACGACTATAATGAAGCTACTCTTTCTTCATCTGGCTGTTCAGCTGGCAGAATATGGCCCCCCTTCGAACAACCTATACAATATGAAAGGCAATTCAAATCCCCAGCAGAATTTCACAAAAATATCCTGATTCACAACCTACAGAAAAAAAATCTCACAGTTTACCTTTCCCAGCCCTCTCTCCCAATTTCTTCTCTACCCCAAGAGCTGCCTTAAAAACTGTCTCCAATCTCTAGTAATAGCTTTTTGTTTCTGCCTTTCTAACTGCTGTCCTGGATCAATATTTTCCCCTAAGAGTTCATTTCATCTTAAATATATGACTTGACCAATCTGTTGAAGCATTGTAGGTGGAGAGAGAGGGAGAGAGAGACTTTCTATACATTCCCAATGGAATTGGTCAGTGGTATGTCACCTCATACAGATGGTCTCACGATGGGTGCATATTCGACTCACCTAGAGAGCTTTCAAAACTGCCCAGCACAGCCCCATGGCAGACCTTCAAAAGAAGGTCTCTACAGAAGTAGAGTTCAGGTATATCCAAGTAATATTTCTGTCTTCTGTTTTGCGATACCTTAGGAAGCCCACCTCTCTACCCTGTCTAGAAACCCAATCCCTACAGATACTTCTCTCTAATCAGACTAACAATAGAAGCCATGTCAGCAGACAAGATATCATCCTTATAGGTACAAAAGTGGGAGACTATACTCATAAGAAATTTTGTTTGTATTCCTGGACTCATTTTTTCTTCCCCACCTATGCTTAAATATCTTACTTCTATGGGTCCTTATATTCTTCCTGCAAGCAATTTTTGCCTCAATTCCCTGCCTGCAAGCTTTAGTATTGAGGTCCTCTTTTACCCCAGTCAAAAAAAAATCAGTAATTGGGTGACATATTTGGGCCTCTGATCTCTCCTGCCTTGCATTTGCCAATCATCCGAGAACATTCTAATCTCATGGATCTTGCTGCTCAGATCTTCCTCTAGTGACTGATGTTGGGTTTCACCCAACTACTTTCTTTTTCCTATGGGTCTTCAAGCTGTCTTCCTGAAACTCACTATGCCACATAGTTGACTCTGAACAGAAGGAAGAGAGAAAGAAAAGGGAACACAGAAACAACTACTTATAACATGTCATTGGGGCCATGGTCAAAAGCTTTTGCAATAGGACAATGATAACATGCTCTGAACAATCATGGGAATAAGTAGTTCTGTCTACGCTCAACAAGTCAGAGAGAATTTAGAAGCTGATACTGGGTTATCTTAGCCTTTTGAATTTTGTTAACTACCAGTATTCTGCTTCATCCTAAAGTTCTCTTTGTTGTAAATCACTTACTAAGTTTCATTCAGACAAATAAGGAAATTCTAGTATCGTTCAACTCTTAGGTATTTATCATCCCTGGCTTGACTAGAACCCTTCTACCTTCAAAGAAATAAACTATTCGTTCTCAGTTTCTGGGGGGTGTGAATAATAATAGCCAGTTTCTCACATGCCTGAAAAGCCAATAAGAAACTTCATGTCATCCCAGCAGTTTAGGAGGCTGAGGCAGGAGGATCATGAGTTCAAAGCCAGCCTCAGCAACTTAGCGAAGCCCTAAGCAATGCAATGAAACCCTGCCTCTAAATAAAATATTAAAAATCACTCAGTGGTTAAGTGTCCCTGAGTTCAATCCCTGGTACAAAAAGAAAAAGAAAAAAAGAAGAAAAATAACTCAATGTCTGTTATAACCATGATGATCTAATTCAGACCCAGACAGTAAAACTGAGCCGAGCTGACTGGACTCCTGAATTACCTCTCAGTGAGTGTTCCTTGTGTGTCTTTYCATTCCAGGGCTCAATGGCGATGACTTCCTGGCAGTGGGTCTGCTGAACGGCAGTGTGGTTTACAGTTATAACCTGGGATCTGGCATAGCAAGTGTCAGGAGTGAGCCCCTCGATCTGAGCCTTGGAATCCACACTGTCCGTCTGGGGAGATTCTTCCAAACAGGCTGGATGAAGGTAAAGAGCCTTCACTTCATCAGTCCCAAAATTTACATGCTGGTGTATTAGTGCTCAGGTGCCAAGGCAGGCAGGACATGATGCCGTCACCTGTGGAGTTTACACTCAAACAGGAGAGGAGAGATGACCACAATTAGGTGGTGAATGAGTCAGTCAGAGGGATTACTAACATAGGTAAGGCTAAGAAACGGGGTTCAGGAAATGCCTCCCAGAAATGGTGATGCTTGAGCATAACTTTGGATAAACAGAAGGTAGGAAGAAGAATAATAGCCAGTATGAGGTTAAGGAACACAAGCAGTTTTGTGTAGTTCTCAGGTTAGGGAGTTGGACAGCAAGAGAGATTCGTGGTAGACAAGTCTGTATTATCAAGTACGTATATATCAAGCTAGGAAGTTGAGAGTTTTATCCAGAGAGCTGTAGAGAGACACTTAAGATGGGGGGGGGGGGGTTTGAGTACCATGATTCATTTCTATTTTTTAACAAATGAGTCCGGTGGATATATTGAAAATGAATGGGGCCAAGGCTAGACGGAGGGGTACCAGCAGGATGCCAGCTCCTAATCTTTGAAGAACTGTGATTTTGATTGAAATCCAAAACCATGAMTGCTATATTAATATATCTTTCTTAACAGACACCAGCAGAGAAGCAGAGAATTGAGTAGTTTCATGTTCTTTATTTCTTCAAAATTCTAGTCTTTATAAATTTTTCATGCCAAGATAATGGGAAATAACAAAAGAATATCTTAACAGTTCACCCTGGGAAATTAATTCACCCTGGGGAATTAATGCCTTTTTTAATAGGTTTTGATTTTTTTTTTCCTTTCAAAGGTAGATGACCATAAAAATAAGTCTGTCACCTCCCCAGGAGAACTGGTTGGTCTCAATGTCTTCAGTCAGTTTTATGTAGGTGGTTATAGTGAATACACTCCAGATCTCTTACCAAATGGAGCCRATTTTAAAAATGGTTTTCAAGGTAAGACACCAGCGGTTTTTCTACTATAGCTATTTGTTTTGAGTATTAAAAGAAAGAAAATGCTTTTTAAAGAATATATGTGCAGTTCACAAACCAGCCATGTGGATTGTTTTCTAATCAAACTTAATCAAAGTTTCATCGAAAACTTTGTTCATCATTTTGTTGATCGCTTACTACATGCTTTACTAGATGTCTCAAAACAGAGACACCTACATTCATATATTTGCATTCTATTTGGATAGAGGGAGCAACAATAAATACTAAATATAATAGAGAAGTAAATTACCTAGTAGAATAATGTGATAAATCCTATGAGGATGAAAGGAAATGTAGAATATGATCTGGAGAGGATCAGAAAGACAAGTAATCCTTTACCTAGGATACTTTTTAATGTAGGCTGACAGGGTTACAGGAAAAGTTGAAACTCTGCCTAATTTTGGAGTGTACTCCATACGAAAGGTGAGAAACTGATGTCAACCCTCCCATACCACCAACATGTGGCCTACAGGGGCCACCCCAAGCCAAGAGGAATAAGAGGAAACATTGTGCTTCAGTGAACAGTTGAATTAACATACTCTGTCTCCTTGTGTTCAAAAAAAAAAAAACACTGGTTCAGAACTCCCTTATAAAGCTTATTCAGAGTAGAGTTATGAAATTTAAAAAATGTGCTTTGAACTGATATAATATTCACTTGTGAATAATCTTTGTGGTGGAGAGTATGTGGTGCTACTCATGTGCTGTCCTCAGCCAGTCACCCAGGAAGCCTATTCTCCATCAGAAGTCTGGGTGCAGGGGCCTGGAGGGTAAAGTGCATCTCTGGGGAGGGAGCTGCCCTCCAGCACAGCCCAGGCACCTCAGTTCTCCACCTGCCTGGCAGCCTTCTTTTCACCACCCCCTGATGCCTGCCCAAACACAAATGCAGAAGCCACTGTACTTGAAATATGTGAAAGCAACATAGCTAATCCTGTATAATACAAGGTCAAGTTCTAATAAAGTTACTTCATTCTGCCAAGACTATCAAAGAAAATTTTTCTTTGAATATGTAATCAGTACTGATTCTCTGAAGAGTGTCTTAAAAGATCAGTTTAAAGCATATTATGGCACTGTGCTAAAATGTAATAAAGAACTCAACAGCTCTTTCCTAACAGGAGATAATCTGAAAGGGATTGTACATATATAACAAATCAATGAGTTTTTAAAAACATTATATTCAAGGGAAGAGATGGGTAAGCTTATGAATGTGAAGAAGTACATCTTCCACCCAGTGAGACATTTTGGGGGGTGACCAAAACGTGATGTGGCTTATTCCCAGGCACAGTTCACACATAAGAACTTTGGGTTAGATAATTCCTCCATATGAAGGGTAGCAATTGCATAAGGATCAGAGAATAAACTCCATTAGACCACTGCCAGGGTATGTGCCCCAGCTCCACCTGGTTTGTCACCTCGCCTCCTATGCCTCAACTGTAAAATGGGATAATAACAGCACTTCTCTCSCTATGTCATCCTGAGAGTAATTTACTGGAGAGAGAACACAAATTCATGCCTRATTTAGTGAGATTCCTCATTAGCAATGATAACAGTGCTGGAGGTGGCAGAGGAACAGCTTCATCGTACACTTGCCTTCTTCTCTGCTCCACAGACAGTGGTGGAGAGCTCGGGCTYTGCAACAGACTGTCTTCAGATACAGGTTCTGCCACCTAGAAGCTGTGTGACTTTAGCCTGCTACCTAACYCTGGGCCTCCATTCTCTCCTGGGTAAAATAAAGATCCCTATCACATCGGGCTCTTATGGGTTAACCAATTAAGCAAAATAATTATGCTAAGTGTTTTGCCCGAAAACCAGTCCACAATAAACACGAATAAATATTATTAATAATTCCATCCTGCTGACATAGGATTCAATGTTTTCAAATTTATTGAAGTACARTGCTTCTTGGTTTTCTTTTGTGCTGTTTTTCTCCCCCATTCTGCTGGGATCTTTTCTTCATATTTTAACAATGAGAACAAAGARAGGATGTTTGTCAAGACTTGTCACTTTCTCCTGAAGTGTGACAATGAGCCCGAGTCCAACACGTGAACAGCTGACCCTTTTGACAGAAACACTGGGACTGTATACTCCTGGGAGCTTCTCAGCTGCTGCTGTTCTTGGTTAGGATGAGCATCTTCTTGGTAATTGCCACTTAGTTCCGAGTCTTGTGGGAGATCTAAGACCCTGGAAGCCCCGCTGTTTATCGTTTGTCTCTTGAATCTTCTCTCACTATGTCTTCCTCCATTATAAACCAGCATTTACTATTTGTTACAAATCATGCATGGACAATTATTACCAGCTTAATATTACAACCAAATATACCAGAAATCCATATTTCCCCAAAGCTCTACCAACTCTAAAGAATCATAAGCACTAACTTCTTAAAAATACAGACTTCTRCACCCTACCTCAGAACTACTTAATTGAAATCCCTCTGATGGAGTATAAAACTTTACATTTTTAACAATATTTCCCAGATTTGGAAACTACTACATTATTTAACAATAACAAAGCAAATAGAATTTTATAGAAGAATTTATTCATCAGGGTAGAGTTGGAGCATTTGTCTATGTAAYGGCAATTAAATTACATGATAAAAGATTATGTGATTTAGGCTTTCACATTTCTGTAAACACTCTTGATAAATAACTCTACTCCAAAAGTTTGACATCTAAACTATAAATCCTTACTGCAAATAAAGTCCATTTTTTGTTGTTATTCTAAAAATGTCTTATAATAAGCCATCTCTTTTCCTATGGCCTTTAATGTTCATGAAGACACTGAGGTTAACCAGGTTAAATAATTTACATATGCCAGGCAAACAGGGCCACAGTGCTTTACCTGACCTAATGAGAGCATCTCCTTTGCTGTCCAAAGTTGCATCTATTACAAAGCTGATGAGTTCTTAGGTTAAGGTTCATAGTCTTTAGACTGGACATGAAAGGAAAGAAAGAAGATAGTAATAGGGGATGAAGGGAGAGAAAGCAGGTGAGGGGAGAAGAAACTAAAAATGTTAGACCACAAGTGAGAATAAGCTATTATTCTCTRTTACCTGTAGAAAACCTTGTTGCACAATTAAATGTTCTAAAGACTGCTGCAGAAAAAGAACTAAAGTCAAACATCTCATCTCACTAAAATGCCTTTCTCATACACTCCTCTATTTCTTTTACTATCATTACCAGTCTTCCCAGTGCTTGTTTGAATCATTTGTACAATAGTTCTCRAAGTGTGGTCCCTGCACCAGCAACATTAGCATCACTGGAAAATTTGTTGGAAATAAAATTCTTACTGAATCTGAAACTTTGGACATAGGTTCTAGCAATATGGATTTTAACGATCCCTACATTTGATTCTGGTGAAGCTGAAGTTTGAGAATTGCAGCTTCCTGTCATCTTGAACTCCTCACACCAGTCCTATTACCTGCCACATCAGAACACTCTTGACACACTGTTGCATTATGTCACTTGCCTGCTCAAAAACTCAGCAAGCACTCTATCAATTCTTTTGATCCAGCTACCCCATTCCTCAGTTTATACCCAAAGGACTTGAAATCAGTATAATATAGTAATGCAGCCATGTCAGTGTTTATAGCAGCTCAATTCACAATAGACTATGGAACCAACCTATGTGTCTTTCAATAGATGAATGGATAAAGAAAATGTGGTATATATAWTCAATGGAATATTACTCAGCTTTAAAGAAGAATGAAATTATGGTATTTGCCAGTAAATGGATGGAGTTGGAGAATATCATGCTAAGYGAAATAAGCCAATCCCAAAAAACCAAAGGCTGAATGTTTTCTCTGATATGCAGATGCTAATTCACAATAAGGGGGGACACTGAAAAGAATAGAGTTAGATTAGGTAGAGAGAAGTGAAGCAGGGAGGGGAAGGAATGTGAGGATAGGAAGGATAGTAGAATGAAACAGACATTACTACTTTATATGTGACTGCATGACCAATGTGATTCCACAACATATACACTCAGAAAAATGAGAAATTTTATCCCATCTAGGTATGATGTATTAAAGTGTATAAATGCATGCTATTATCATGTATAACTAATTTAAACAAATAAAAAAATTAAAATAAAAAATAAAGAAATGGTTAAATACTTTACTGAGCATTCTAAAGCCCACATAATTTCCCCATACTTACCTTGCCTCGCCACGTTCTTTGTTCCAGAAAAAACWATTTCCCGGGCTGGGGATGTGGCTCAAGCGGTGGCGTGCTTGCCTGGCATGCGTGCGGCCCGGGTTCGATTCTCAGCACCACATACAAAGATGTTGTGTCCACCAAATACTAAAAAATAAATATTAAAAAAATTCTCTCTCTCTCTCCCTCTCTCTCACTCTCTCTTTAAAAAAAAAAAAAAAAAAAAAAAAAACTATTTCCCTCAGTCAAGGATCTCCAGAGAAACAGAACCAATAGGGTGTTTATATAGAGATAAAGAGAATTAAAAGGAATTGGCTTATATGATTATGGAGCCAAGAGCTGTAGTCAGCAAGCTGGAGTGCTGGTGTATACCAGGGGAGAACCAGGGGAACCAGGGGAGTAAGCAGCAGTCTAAAAACCATCAAGTTCAGGACCAAAAAATAGCTGCTGTTTCAGCKCAAACAAGAAGGCTGGAAGTCAAATACACCAGGTTAAGCAACCAGGCAGGAGTTCCCTTCTGCTCAGCCTTTTTGTTCAGGTCTATAATTGATTGGATGGGTCCCATCTGCATTAGAGAGGGCGATTCACTAGTCTATAATTCAAATGTTAATGTTATCCAGAAACACATACACACACATACACTCTCTCTCTCTCTCTCTCTGTTTGGTCAATATATAGACTTCCTATGCCCCAATCAAGTTGACACATAAAATTAACTGTCATAATATCTAATCATTTGTGTGTGTGTGTGTGTGTGTGTGTGTGTGTTATTTTCCCTAGCTGAGCCCTTTCTCAAAACAATGCCCTTCACCACTTTAAATTCCATTTGCCTTGAAGGCCAGCTCAAACCCATCTCCCCAATGAGGGCCTGGTAAAAAGATTAAAAAATCCTTTCTTTCTAGTTTTTCTTTAAAAATGTGTGTGTGTGAGTGTGTGTGTGTGTGTGTGTGTGTTTAATGCATTATCTATAATCGCCCTACTATGCTATAGCTTAATTTCTAACAATGGAATATATGAGTCAATTGTTTAATAATTGGAGGTTGATTAAATATATTATAAAGATTATTTTGTCATCACATAAAAATATTTTAATACTTTAAGAAAAAAGAGYAAGCAGTGGGCTAGGATTGTGGCTCAGTGGTAGAGCACTTGCCTAGCACGTGGGAGGCACTAGGTTCGATCCTAAGCACCACATTAAAAAAATAAATAAATAAAATAAAGTTCAAAAAARGAAAAGAGTATTTCAATGTTCAATTTTTGGCATAATATTACATATTATATAATATAATATTATATAATTATTATAATTATATAATATTATATTATATATTATATAGTTTAATTCAAGATTTCACTTTCACTTAAAAGTACAACTAAATGTAGGAGAAAAGACCATAAATACATATGCGCATGTCAAATATTAATAGTTATATTCTCTGAAATGCTGATACTATGGATAACTTTTTACTTTTCTCTCTATGATTTTGTTTTTGGTATTATTTCTTAAAAATGTATATTTATTACTTTATTTTGAAAACTCACTTTAATAATGAAAGAAGTACTGTCACCTAGTTTCACTTGTTAACAGAGTGTCTTGGCCCTTCTTCAAGGTTGCATTTTCGCTATTGAAGTTCGTACAGAGAAAGATGGCCATTTCAGAGGCCTTGGAATTCCCGAGGGCCACCCAAATGCCGGGCGCAGCGTTGGCCAGTGTGAGGCTTCTCCCTGCAGTTTAATGAAATGTGGCAATGGGGGAACATGCGTAGAGAGTGGATCTACTGTTTAGTAAGTATGAAATCTTCAGGAAAGACAATAGCAGGTTAATTTGCTTTCTAACARGTGCCCCGCTCCAACTGGTACTGAACTTGCCTGACCTAGAAACACAAACCTAGTTCATATTTTAAATGTTTTTATGTAGATTTGTAGATGAGTGAAGAATAGTTTAAGGCAACTAGAAGTAGAATCAGCACAGCACACCTCAATACTATTAAACAATGAAAATGAATCACCCCCCAGATACTCATGTATGAGACAATACAAGAAGGTTCAGAGGAGAAATTAGTGGGTTGTAAGAGTCTTAACCCA